GGCCCCCGGGCCCCTGCGTGGGAGGCTGGAAAATGGTGTCGCGCGGAAGCGGGTGTCAGCACCCCTGATCGCACCCGGGCGCTTCCTCCCACGGAGCACCCAGCTGCCACCGCCCCGGGGGGGACGCAGGGGTCTGGCTGCCACCTCGTCTCCTCCAGGAACAGTTTTTACCCTCTTCCCTGGCCAAGGGTTTGGGATAATGCTGGGCACCCCCCAGCCCTCGGCACCTGTGGGGAACCAGACCGACCATGAGCTGAGGAGGGCTGGGGGGAGCAGCCAGCTCTGTACAGTCGTCCCCAAACATCCCCAAACCATGTCGCCTTTGTCAGAGTCCCCTTTTCCCCAGGTTTCGGTGGGGAACATAGCGTCTGGGGCAGCAGTGGGGGTCCCACTCGGCCCCTCTCCCACAGGGGGACAGCAGGTGGGCTGATGCCTCCCTGCTCCTCTCCCTCCTTAGATCCTCAACATGGAAGACGACCAGAACTGGTACAAGGCCGAGCTGTACGGCTGCGAGGGCTTCGTCCCCAAAAACTACATCAAGGTCAAGCCACATCCGTAAGTACCATCCCACTGCACGGGGAAGGGGGGCTCAAAGCCCCGCTCCGGTAGCACCCACCAGCACCAGGACATCCTCTCCCACCACCCAGGCAGCGATCCCAATGGCGCATCCCAATACCCGAAGGTCTGCCACGACCCAGGGTAGTCCCACACATGGGGAAACTGAGTCACAGAGCGATGGGGTCTGCCTGCTGGTTCAGTCTGCCATTGCCACCACGGCCAGAGGGGACGGGAGGCAGCAGTGTGCCCACCCATCCCCAACACACAGAAATTCATCCCTCACACTGTGCTGCCCGCTAAATAAATGATAATTGGGGAACAACAAAGCGTTATGGGATTACGACTGCATTAGACACAATCCTATTACTATATTATTAAAGCCCAGCATAATCCATCCCTGTTTTAACCTGTGTTTTATGTATCATTATCCCCTGGTAAATCACATTTAAATGCCATAGCAAAACCTGCTCGGGGCTGTGGCTGGGGAGCAGGAACGCGTGGGCTCAGGGCAGCCCGGGGCAGATCCCATTGCCTCTCCGGCTTCGGTTAATGAGCCGGGATGGGCGAGACACAGCCTCTTCCATGCAGCACCTGAAAGCCTGACACTTGGAGATGCTCTGTGCTAAAGTCCTTGGCTGATCATTCACGGGGCAATTTTAACAGGTAGCAGAGGGTGTCTGTGGCCTGGGGGTCCCAAATACATGGACACAGCCTTGGCAGGGACAGGAGATGGGGACTCTGCTCCACCACCTCGTTCCACCAGCTGCGGGCAATGCAGGCATGAAGGGTTTCGTCCTGGCACGGAGGGTTTTCTGCTCTGCAACCTGCCCATAGCACCTGGTGGGGTTGTTTCCATGGGGAGCCATGGGACGTGGTGGGGAATGGGAGGACAGGCAGCAAAGTGGGGGATGAGACATGTGATGTGACGAGCCGGGTGACAGGATGCGGTCGTGGCTGTTGGTGATGATGCACGGGGACACGTCTGCATCCGCAGCACCCCGTGGTCCCTCCCTCTGCGAGAGTGCTGTGGTAAATTGGGATGGGGGATGAAAAAGGAAAGGAGAAAACACTGGGGGGGGGAGGTCCCAGCCCTGTGTGGAGCCCAACGGGGACCCAGCTCCTGGCGGCATCGGGGCTCTCGGTGCCTCCATCCTGCGGGGTGGGGATGTGGCACTGGGGTGTACCCGGGTGTCGAGGGGTGCCCGTGCGGCTGAGCCTGATGCCCCTCGCAGGTGGTACGCGGGCAGGATCTCCCGGCACCTGGCAGAGGAGCAGCTCCTCAAGCGCAAACACCTGGGAGCTTTCCTGATCCGTGACAGCGAGAGCTCCCCGGGGGAGTTCTCCGTCTCTGTCAAGTAAGTGGCCGTGGGATGCAGACAGAAATGCGGCGGGATGGGCAGAGGTCCCCCACAACCCCCTGCTTTGGGGACCGAGGGCACCAGGCCACCTTCCTTGCCGCAGTGCTGGGGAAGGGGCGAGCACCCTGCCCTGCCCAGGACACCTCGAAGGGGCTGGGGGCTGCGGAGCTGTATCCCCACAGCATCCAGGCGCAGCTTCGCGCAGGGCCTTCCTCTCCTTCCTCCCCTCTGCAGCTTCTTGCTCTGCTGTGGTCCCTGCTGCTTCTTGCCCCCTGCCTGCCCCCTGCCTGCATCGCTGGGCTGCATCGCTGCCTCGCCCGGGGTCCCTCGCTGGGCTGCCCCTAAATACGGCCATGGGGA